GCGGGAAGCCTGCTTCTCCCTCTCCCACTCCCCTTGCTTGTGTTCCCTCTCTCGCTGTGTCTCTCTCTCAAATAATAAAAGAAATAAAATCTTTAAAAAATAAATAAATAAACAAAAGGGGTGCTTGAAAGGAGAGGAAAAGTACGTGAATGGCCCGACAGGTAAATCACTGGCTTCCGGAAGAAGAGCAAATATCAACGGCACTCAAGCCTCATCCTTCAAATCTGGTCGCTGGGTCACCATCATCCGTTCTGCTGCTGCTTTGCCAAGCCCCGCAAACACAGCAGTCTTCGGGGAGGAGAGAATCACAGAAAGGGGAAACAAAGGATGGCTTCAAAACTGAAGAGCGGCTGGACATGTTCTCTATCGTGATCTGGGAAAGCAGTGACAGGGATGTACACGCGTGTGAAACTGCATGGAGCCAAACACTTAAGATGTGTACACTTAACCTATCCTATGCCTCAATAATACGCCGATTCAGTTTTTTAAAGGACAGTCTCCCCCAGGCACAGCTGTCTTCTGGAAACTTTGTATGTTCCGAATAGCCCTAAAAGAGCCCCCAAATGCAAAAGAGGCTCCTCTTCACCCCCACACCCCCACACCAGTGTGGGTCCAGAAATGCCCAGACTTCTCATAAGGATTTCTCCAAGACAGAAAGACAGAAGGCAGAAGAAGACAGCAACCACAAAGAGAGAAGCCTGCTCTACTCACTGGGCCAGCTTCTCCTTCCTAAGGTCAGGTGGGAGGAAAGGAGCCCCCACCCACCACCCCCCAGACGGAGCAAATGGAGGCCCTTGGACCCTGCCGGCCACAGCAGAGAGGCAGTGGGGGCACCTACCAAGCTGCAGGACACCCAGCTCGCCATCAGCCTTGTTGGGCACTGGCAACTGATTTTTCCTAGAAAAAAAGAAAATGTCAATGTACCAGAGGAAAATGAACCCGAAATACAAGCAGCAGAGAAGAAGGCAGGGAGCACTGGGTGGGGGTTCAGGGGACGGTTCTCTCTAGCCGGGCCCTGCCATTCGTGTATGCCCTGCACGGTCACTCTCCCTCTCTGCGCCACAGGTTCCTTCCCTGGATGGGACCAAACGGCCTCCCAGGTGCCTTTCAATTCTGTGTTCTCACGGACACACACACATACGCACACCAGCCATACAGGTGGATAAATCCTGTAGTTTGACACTTGCCCAGAACCAAATGCGAGCGTGTCTTGCTGATGTCACCATGATACTGCTAGAAAACACACACACATACACATATGCACACGCAAATCAAGTGCTTGTCATCACTGCACAGGTTTTTTTCATCACATCTCTATTTTCTTTTTTGTTTTGTTTCTTTTCTCTCCCAGCTTTCTTTTTTTTTTTTTTTTTAAGATTTTATTTATTTATTCATTAGAGACAGAGAGAGAGAGAGGCAGAGGGAGAAGCAGGCTCCCAAGGAGCAGGGAGCCCGATGCGGGACTCGATCCCAGGACCCTGAGATCATGACCTGAGCCGAAGGCAGACGCTTAACCATCTGAGCCACCCAGGCACCCTCTCCCAGCTTTCTTGTAAAGCCATCAGCAGCCATTTCTAAGAAACCTCTAAAATGCACCAAAAGCCTGTTCTGTGAGACTGATTTATAAGTTCAGGTATGTACATGTGGAACTTTCTCAACACGGCCCACCTGTATTTTAGCTCTCTGGATATTTTCTTCCCTCCAGCATGCATCAATCTGGACTAAAGAAAAATCTTTTTTTTTTTTTTTAAGAATGCATTAAGAATAACAATATTACCTCACTCTCTGAAAACCCATTTACTAAGTTAAAAAAATGACAGCCCTTTTGAATGTGGCATTGAAATATCTTTTCCTCCAACATCCTTGCAGGGTAAGATAGGATTGAAGTAACAATCGTAATCTTGCCACGCTACGTTCTATTGAATTGGCTTCCTCCTGAAGATGTATGAAGGGGTGTGAGTGGAAGACCGCGGAGGACACACGGTACCAAATCTGTGAGCATGTACTGCTTCGGACTCCGAGTTTCTTGCTCTGGCCCAGAGCGCTGCAACACAGAGCTCCTTCCCCCACCCTCCCAGGCAGCCCTAATCCTCTCCTACCGGGTCAAGACCATGTTCCTCAACTCAAAACCGCAAAATTCCTATGTCTCTACACTACCAGGATTCGGCAAGCGTTCTCTTGGGGACTGGTAAAAACACAAGCTGGAAAGGGGATCTAAGGCCTGGAGGGGCAGTAGAAGGAGGTGAAGGGGGAGGCAGTGCAGATGCTGGGTCACGACCACGGCAATGAGAAACTGCACCTGCACCAGAAGTTTCTGTCCACGTACCCCTCCCACCGCCACTGGCTCTGCCACTAAAGGCTGAGGACCCGAGTCCCACCTCTATCTGTCCCTTCTGTCACTATTCCATCCGGAGACTAGGGCGAGATGCCTCCCCCTTTCTGAAAAGTGAGGATTGAGGCACGGTGCTAAATGGCCTCTAACATCTGCCTTGAAACATCCAATCAGGGAACAGCAGGAGCAAAGACATCTCTGGAACATCCCAAAGGAAAGAACATCTCTCTTGTACCTGTCTCTGCTCTCTGCCTCTTGCTTTCTCACCCAGATCACTGGAATAGCCTCCTCACTGGTTTCCCGACCCCCAGTGTGATGTCCCGCCCCACTCCGGCCCCCCACGTCTTCACAGGGGTATCAAAGGCATCTTTCTATAAAATAAATCTGACCATGCCACAGCCTGGCTGAAATTCTTCAAGGGCTCCCCATCATCATCACCACCACCAACAGTAATATTTATAAAAATGACAATAATAACAGCAAATACTCTCTGACTCCTTTGGTTGTTCCAGGCACTGTGCTGAGTGCCTTGCAAGCAACAAAAGCCATCTGCTTCTCAGGACAGCCTTAGGAAGGAACTGTTGTGCTGAGCCTCACAGAGATCCAGTAATTCTCCCAGTACACAGCAAGTAAGTGGTGGCCTAGGAATTTGAACCCAGGCAATGACCCCAAGGACAAAGACAGCAACCACCACATATACTGCTTCTTTGAAAACTAAAATCCAGGAGGGGCACCTGGCTGGCTTAGTGCATGTGACCCTTGATCTCGGTGTTGTGAATTTGAGCCCCATGTTGGGTGTAGAGATTACCTAAAAATAAAAAATAAATAACTAAAATAAAATCAAATCCAGGCCCATTAAGGTGCCCTACAGGCTATCTCTGAGCTAGCCACCTACCACCCTAGCCCCCTCTCCCTCTGCACCCTCACACTCCACGCACATTCCCTGCAATGCTGAGCTTCCCAGCCTCTGCCTCTATACCTTCTCATAAGCCCTTCAGTTGGGCTAGAATATCCTTCGGCAAACTCACGCTCATCCTCTACAGCCCAAGTGGTATGTCACTTCCTTCTCAACTCCGAACATGCATTCATTCACTTCCTCACCCACTCATCCAGCAAACATGTGGCAGTAATCTGGCAGGCCTGTCTCCCTGCCGAAGGGAGACCCAGGCATGTAAAATAAACAAACATAAATTGCAATTTGACATGCAACGGTAGGCTGAATAATGGCCCCCAAAGATAGCCTGTGAATGGTACCTTATATGGTAGAAAGGACTCTGTAGATGGGACTAAGTTAAGGATCTTAGGATGAATGAGGGTACCCTGGATTACACAAGTGGGAGCAATGTAATTACAAGCGTCCTTGTAAGAGGGAAGCACAGGGAGATTTGACAGGGAAGAGGAGAGGGGCGTGATGCCAGGAGCAGAGATTGGAGGGATGCACTCTGAATATGGACGAGGGCCACAAGTCAAGGATGGGGGTGGCCATGAGAAGCTCCAAAACATCAAAGAAACAGATTCTCCCCTGGTGCCTCCAGAAAGAACGAGCCCTGCCAACACCTTGACTTTAGCCCAGTGGAACTGACTTCAGACCCTGATCCTCCAGAACAGTAAGATAATATATTCACATTGTTTTGAGCCACTAAGTTTGTGGGAATTCGTGACCGCTGCCATGGGGTACTAATACATACTGTGAGAGAAATCACAAGGAGGGACGAAGGACTACGGGATGCTCTTCATCACCTATGTACCCCGCGTGCCCAGCACCCGGCCAGCGCTCCATAAATAGATGCTGAGTACTACAGTGACCCTCACAGAAGCGAGGTGACTCACCCAAGGTCACACAACTTTGAAGTGCCGGAGCCAGAACTTATTAAACCCAGGCCCCGGGCTCCAATTGCTCTCCTTCGTTCCTTCTTCTATGTTATGCTTCCTTCCCCTGCCCAGAGCCCTCCATGGCCTCCTGTAGACCACAGCACAAAATCCAAACCTCCCAAGGAGCCCCCTTGGCTCCTGAGGGCAAAGCCTTGGGGCACGTGGGTGGCCGAGAGCCACGGCCAGAGGGTGGAGATGATGTTCCCGCTGCAAAGGGTACAGCTGGGCCTCTCCCTGGTCATGGGACTTCCACCCAGAGCGCCATCCATCAGCTGCAGAAGCCCAGCTCAGATGCTTTGTGGCCCGTTTCCCATAGATCTCATCACCAGAGGAGACTTCAATTATGCTCACACTTAGGGAATGTGCTTATTGTTCCTTTCATGTGTCCCTTTGTGGCATTAGCATTACAAAGTTTAAAAGGTCAGTTTAAAAGCATGTTCTTGCCTTTGAGTGAAAACTATTATGGAAAACAATGACAACAAGATAAATTAAGGATTCAAAATACTTTTGATGGTGCAGATAACCCAGAGACATGTGTCAGAGTGTCCATCCAGTAAATCCATGGGAGCCGGGCTGTAGACACCCAGCTTGTCTGCCGTGTCTGAGGTCACCACTTCCCACTCAAAGTCCCTTCCTTTTGTGGCCCCGAGGGAGAAGCCAGGGCCAGGGCACTGTGGATATCTGGGGCTCCATGGGGCCAGGACTCAATCCCAGGTAACTGAATCTTGGTGAGGTGGGAAGAGCTACTCAGAGACCTGACTTCTTGTCCCTCTTCCCCCCAACCCCCACCCCCGTGCCCTTGGGCAAGTCATTTCCCCTCTGTGGGCATCAGGTGCCTCATCTGTACCTCAGGGGAAGCCTGGGCATGCTCATCACTGTGGGACACAACCAGGTGCAGGGGCTCTGAGAGGCCTGGAGTGCCTGGGCCACACTAGTTTTGAAGATGCTCTCCTGCTTATGCAGCCCCACACTCCGAATATTTCACTAGCTCTTAACATGAAAAGACAAGGAGATGCTCCTTCCTCAATGTTTGACACTGGATACTTGGTTAAATTAGTTAGGGAGTATAAAAGAAAGGTGTCCCACGGGAATAAAGATATTGACTACTTACTATAAATTCTATTTGATGGCAACTCAGAATCCAGTATGAATGGAGTCCAAACTGACCCCACTAATGTGGCACAAGAATCCAGACTATAACACAAAATTTTCCCAAGACAGGGATAGCCCAGCACACCTAACTAAAGCAATGTAAAATTATCTGGAAGGGCACTTCTACAAAGCAGGTCACACAAGATTCCCAGGAAAGAGAGAGAGATTTTTTTTAAGTGCCACTGAAAATATGCTCAAAACAAAGAACTAGTAAAGATATGAGAAAATCATGCACCATAAGAGAAAGCCAGGTGACACAGCAAAAAGGACTCCCAAGAACTTGAGATAATAGAACAACAATCTAAAAGAGGCTGTAATTAGAGTAAGGAAACTTCTTTAACAGGAACGGAAATCATTAGAAAAGAAACAGATACTATAAAAAAAAGAATGGGCAGTTTTGAAAAGTACATACAGTCACAGAAATAAAAAAAAAAAACTCATGGACATAGAAGGATGGTGATTCTAACATATGAAATACATGTTAAACCCCATGAGCCTGCTGCTGGGAGGGGGGTGGACAGGGACGGGTCATGGAAAGCTC